TATAAATTGAGGGACTTAAAGTATACAAATTTACATAAATTTAAAAAACTAACTGATATAATGATTAAAAAATTACATTTTTCATAATATGGGAGACCAAAAAGTGCAAAACATAATTTAAATACTAAAAATATTCAAAATTAAAAGTTAAGAAATTAAAATCAGCATTTAACCTTGAAATTACTTGATTCAATTTGAAATTTCAGGAGCTCGGAAAAAAATCCAGTGTCAACAAAGGCTCGGCTACATGAGGTAAGACTACAACAGCTCAGATGGAAACCATTAGATTTCAAATTCAATTCAGGTTTCTGCAGCTTATATTTCAAAACTGTTTTAATTTATTTTGTAATTTAATCTAATTTGAGGATTTGAGTGAACAATTATTTTTAATTGGTATAACATACGACCGACTATAAATTAATTAATCAAACTAATAATGATTGCTACAAAGTGGGAAGAACACTATTGTAATGGAAATATGGAATAACAACCTAGCCAACTGAGGTGAACCACATTACAATGTAAATTAAAATTCCCGTGGCATATAAGTAATGATATAGCTTAGTTAGAAGAGGGGTTGGTTGCTTCCTACTTCATTTATTAGTGTTTGATTTTTATGAAAGTTAATAAAAAATAATTTTTCATAAATTTATTAATTTTGATGTGAATAATTTACTTTTAATTTAATAAAAAAATAATTAATCTCAAAATATATATATAAACTAACCTAAAAACATGTTAATTGATAAATAAAAAATATATAATAATAAATAATATGTTATAAAAAGGGTTCTTGTTTTTTCAGTCCTAACTGATTACAAAATTGTTAGTCTAGGCAATCAAAAGATTAAAGTGCTTTTAAAAAATTAACATGCACAAATAATAAATTAGCTTTATTTGAAAATTATATAGGTTAGAGCGGCTTGATGATCCTTTTAATTTGTTTATGGTTTAACTTGCGCATAGTTGGACAGATAAGCTTTACAAATTGGCATTCCAATAAGCCCCTCATGTGCAGTCAATATGGTGAGATGCTCCTAATGATGCCATCATCACTTTCCCTTGACTAACTCCTCCCCTTAATAATTATATAACCTAGATGTCAATTTCTTATTTATAGTACTAGTTCAATGAAAGCATCAAAAGACCAAGTCTTAATTCCACCTCAGAATTAAGTGATTAATCACACAACAAAATCTTGTAAGTCTATTGCCAGTAATAATTATTGATTTTTTTATTCAGTAAAGCATATAAATTTACACAAAATTATTTGATGTTAAATAATTTTAAGAAATTGTATGGTACATAAATGAAGTCTAATTAAAAATGACTCTTCGATAGATAAGAGATAAATAAAAGTTAACTAATTAAGAACAAATTTAAGAAAAAGGAAAGATCTTAATGGGGGAGATTTAAATGTTATTTAGTTTAATTGTTTAAAGAACTATTTATAGTTATATATGTTAGTTGATAATTAATAAAATATTTTATATTAGTTTGAAATTAGTTTATAAATTAATATTACTAAATACCCTAACCAATATATAAGAAAAAATTACTGATGGATAAAATCAACTAATCCAAAACCCCTTTACTCATGTTGTCTGAAGGTACAATAAGAGAAGAAAAAATGCTAAAAGGTAGAGAAAATCATTAGAGAAGTATGGTTCCACCACGACCTTTAGCACAGCCAGGCAATATAATTGTGTCCTTGCATCCATAAAAATCCTGGAATCCTGCACATTTCCCGCCCCAATCTGCGACCAACCTTATTTAATTCTGATTAATCTTGCACTTTATACATAGAATAAGTATAAACAAACTCTCTACTTTAGATTGATAATAATAAATAAGTAATCATTATATTTGAAATTTGTTACTATTATTTTTTATTTTAGATTATATAATAAAAAAATAATTATCGTTAATTTTTAATTTATTTTATCTGTATACCATGTAATTAGAATTTAAAATCTTTTATCTTTTTGAAAAAAAGATTATTATTAAATTATTTAAGTAACTAATTATATTAAAAAAATTTATTAAATAAATTTTTTAACATAATTTAAGATTATGTGTTTAAGTTATATAATCATGGATGAAATAAGATATAGATAAAAAGACGAAAAAAAATTACACCAAATATGCAACATAAAAGCAAAGGAAAAATGTAATGATCTCTGTTTCTTTTTGGTCTTTTTTAATACTATCATTGTATTTTCATAATTATAAGTCATGAACCAAAAGGTGCAAAGGCATCCACTAATTATGATGTTGTGAACGCTCATGTTAACGAAAGTCTTTTGCAGCAAAAAAATATTTTTAGAGGGGCATTTTGAATGTTGTTACATTCTTTATCTGCCTTTTAGCTTTATATAGGATAGATGTGATAAACGGTGGTGGGTCAGATCACTGTCACACAGACATAACTTGTCCCTACTTGTCTTGAGACGCCACAACTCTTGCCCATTGCTGAGACCCCACTCACCACATGAAATAATTCATTTTGTGTTTCATACTTTCATCCCTTTCATTTTCAATATTTTCTGAGGGAGACATGAGTTCTCCAATAATTCACTAGGTAACAAAAGACGTCATGTAGAGGGAAATTTACACATGTTTTTTTATGTATGTTTGGCTACACATCTCATAATCAATTTAACAAATGCATTTGTAAGTCCAAAAATAACAAATTCATCCTTTGCAATTTGAAATTTTAAAAAAAAATTAACAAAAAATTATCTTACTGTCATATTTTGAATATTAAATTTTGATTTTATTTTATTATTTGTTTACAAGGCAAAGAGGGAAAAATCTGATTGGAGTTCAAACCATAACTTAAGTTAAAACTACCATCTAGAAGGAAGCAAGTGGACTTTGTGGCCTGCTCCATTAATCTAGATATCAAATTTTGATTGATAAAGTGGAGCAAAGCTACAACTAGATCTCATTATATTATTAGCATTATTGTCTCAAACCCCATATTCTAGTCTCAAACATCTCAAAAAGACAAATCAAGGAGTCTTAATTAGACAAACAAATAGTGAAGTTGTTTTGATGTCCAAATGAAAATGAAAGGAGAAGGCATCTAAGAATTACCCTTTTGCCATGTTGATTAGAACCCTCTTAAGTCCTAACTGGTGTGAAGGGTCCCTTCAAACAAGACAAAAGCTCAAAAAGCAGATCCCACAATTTAGCATTTTCACTATTTTTGTTTAGATATATTTAGCAACAAAAATTAAAAATATTGTAAAAATGCCATTTTTTATGGTTAAAATGCTTAATTGAGACTGATGCATCCCTTGTCTTGTATAATACCACAAGAGATAAAATAGAAGAGAATATTAGGTTGTGAAGTTTAAATTATTTTAAAATATAAAATAAAATTGTTAAATAAGAGATATTTTTTAATATTAAGAGATATGCTCTTTATTTATTAGTTTAAATTATATAGTTTAGATTATATAATCTTTTTTTAATTTTATGTATAAGGCTTTTTTCAAATTAAAATTAATAACATTCTTCTTTATTTTTTTTTTTTACATTTAATATTAGGAACTAGACTTTTGAAGTCATTATTTCGTGCATGGTGTTATATTTATACATTGCACGAATTGAATTTGAATGTAATTGATAATATGTTCTCTTGTGTTTCACATAAAAAAAAAAAATCATGTTTATGTGCCAACACGTTATATTACCAATTAATGTAATTTTAATTTTGAATCTTATTTTATAATTTAAATTATATTAAATTATTAAATAAAAATTATTAAATAAAAATTTTTTAATATTAGAAGTTTAACTCTTATTTAATTATTAATAGTTTATAATTTAATGTAATTTATAATATCTAATATTTTTTTAATTATATATATAATAAAAAATATTAATATTTTGAAGAAAACTTGTACTAGTACTAGAATGTAAAACCAATATTATGCTATACAATGAGGACGTACCAAACTCCCCGTGTCTCGTACCAAACTCCCCGTATCTCGTACCAAAGAAAGAAAAAGAATCAAAACCAAAAAAAAAAAAAGAAAGAAAAAGAATGAAGACGAAAGGACACGCTATTGTATTCCTTCATAATCTTACAAAATTCTATATTTAGAGATTGTGTCCCTGAATTTTACGGAATTACCTGAGATGCCTCAATAAATTTCCTTGGACGATCAAACAAATCCCATGATGCATTGCTTCCTGCCTGCCCTCTCTGTAGAGAGAGACAGTCGAATGCAGCCTGCCAGCCTTCATTCACACCTCACTGCGGCCCATTTCTTGTGAGTAGGCTTTGGTGATAGCAATTAGTAAGCATTCCTTTTCCAGTTTTCAGTCCCGAAAATCTCTCTCTCCAAAAGCACCTGACCACCTGTACCCAAACATAGTATTAGTACTGTGTACTGCTTGCTCTTCACTGTCCTCTATTCACAGACGCCTTGCCTCTGGAGTCATTTACTTGTTTTGTTCCTTGGTAGTCATGTTCTGTGATGTAAACATGGCCAAGCCTTCAATTTCACCTACAGCCCATGTTCTATAATGCTGATTCTTTTGTTTGTTTCTTCTTGTTTTGGCTCTCACCTCCCTCCCTTTGTTTTGGGTCTGTGTTTCCTTTTTTTTTTTTTCATCAAAGTTATCTCCTTTTTCTCCTAAATTTCTGGTCTTGGTTAGCTCTTCAGTACTTGGTGCCTTGAGAACCTCAAATTTGGGTTTTCTTCCAAATTGTTGGTGGTTTGAGGTTTTAATCGGTGTGTTTTTCTTGGTGATTGGTGATACTGATATCATTAGGAAAAAGGGTCCTTTATAATCTGGGATTTTTGGACCTTTTTTTCGAAGAGGAAATATTGAAGCGAAAAGTGGGTTGTAATCAGAAAGGAGTATTTGGTGGTTCAATGGCTGGGGTTGATTGTTGCTTTGGTGTTTAAATAAGGAAATTGATTTCTTGAATTCAAGAAGGGTTTAGTAGAACCCATTCATGGCATTCTTCTGCTTGTCATTTTTGCTAGTTGGGTTTTTGTCCAACTCTCTGCTTGTGGATGCTCAGCTCAATGATCAAGCTACATTGTTAGCCATTAACAAGGAGCTTGGTAATGCCCTTGATTGGGGAGACAACAGCACAGACTACTGCAAATGGGAAGGCATTAGCTGTGGCTTAAACCATTCCTTTGTTGAAAGTCTTCAACTTTCCCGGCGTATGCTTCGAGGTAATGTCACTCTTATCTCCAAGCTTAATGCACTGAAGCACCTTGACCTTTCCTTTAATAACTTCAATGGACCAATTCCTTCAGCTTTTGGTAATCTGTCTGAGCTTGAGTTCCTTGATTTGTCATGGAATAAGTTTGGAGATTCTATTCCATTAGAGCTGGGTGGTCTTAGAAACCTTAGATCATTGAACTTGTCAAACAACATGCTTGTTGGAGAGATGCCTGATGAGCTTAAGGGGCTAGAGAAGTTGCAGGATTTTCAAATTTCTAGCAATAAGTTAACTGGTTCTATACCAGATTGGGTGGGGAATTTGACCAATTTGAGAGTTTTCACTGCATATGAGAATCAACTAGGTGGTAAGATCCCTGGTAGTCTGGGTTCAGTTTCTGAACTGAAATTGCTGAACCTTCATTCTAACATGCTTGAGGGGACCATACCAGATAGCATTTTTGCCATGGGAAAGCTGGAAACTTTGGTTCTGACTCAGAACGAATTTACTGGTGATATTCCAGATGCAATCGGATCCTGCAAGGGTCTTTCTAGCATCCGAATTGGGAATAACAAACTTGTTGGAGCTATTCCCAAGGCAATTGGAAATGTCAGTGGCCTCACCTACTTTGAAGCCGATAATAACAATCTCTCTGGTGAGATTGTTCCTGAGTTTTCTCAGTGTTCTAATCTTACCCTTCTAAATTTAGCCTCTAATGGGTTTACTGGCACAGTTCCTTCAGAGCTTGGACAGCTTATGTATCTACAAGAATTGATTCTATCTGGGAACAGTCTGTTCGGAGACATTCAAAAGTCAATTCTTGCATGCAGGAATCTTAACAAGCTTGATTTAAGCAATAACAGATTCAATGGCACCATACCAAATGAAATCTGCAACATGTCAAGGATGCAATATTTGCTTTTGGGTCAGAATTCAATAAAAGGGGAAATACCTCATGAGATTGGAAATTGTGTGAAACTGCTACAACTGCAATTAGGCAGCAACCACTTGACTGGAAGTATCCCTCCCGAGATTGGTCGTATCCACAACTTACAGATAGCCTTGAATTTGAGCTCCAATCATCTCCGTGGTCAACTGCCTCCAGAGCTGGGGAGACTCGACAAGCTGGTTTCGCTGGATGTATCCAATAACCAGCTAACTGGTAATATTCCACCTGCACTAAAGGGCATGTTAAGCTTGATAGATGTTAATTTCTCCAATAATCTGCTCAGTGGCCCAATACCTACATTTGCTCCATTCCAGAAGAGTTCAAATTCTAGCTTTCTAGGGAATAAAGGGCTCTGTGGACAGCCACTGGGCTCTCTATGTTCTAGTTCTATTGGTTCTGACCAGGCGAACTACCACCATAGGGTTTCCTACAGGATAATATTAGCTGTTATTGGTTCCGGCCTGGCAGTTTTTGTGTCAGTTACCACAGTTGTTCTGCTGTTTATGATGAGGGAGAGACAGGAAAAAGCAGTAAAAAGTACAGGCGTTCTAGAAGATGAAACGAAGAACCAGCCGACAATTATAGCAGGGACTGTCTTTGTTGAGAATCTCCAACAGGCTATAGATCTTGATGCCGTAGTTAAATCCACTTTGAAGGATTCAAACAAGATCAACGGTGGGACTTTCAGCACAGTTTACAAGGCTGTCATGCCTTCCGGGTTGATTCTATCAGTGAAGAGACTGAAATCCATGGATAAAACTCTAATTCATCACCAGAACAAGATGATTAGAGAGCTTGAAAGACTGAGCAAGCTTTGTCATGAAAATCTTGTTCAACCAATTGGGTATGTTATATATGAAGATGTTGCTCTTTTGCTACATCAGCATTTCCCCAATGGCACCCTAGCTCAACTTCTTCATGAGTCCACGAAGCAACCTGATTACCAACCTGACTGGCCGAGAAGACTATCAATTGCCATTGGAGTAGCAGAAGGGCTGGCCTTCCTTCATCATGTGGCCATTATTCACCTCGATATCTCCTCTAGCAATGTACTTTTAAATGCTGACTTCAGGCCTTTGGTTGGAGAAATAGAAATATCAAAGCTCTTGGATCCATCCAAAGGTACTGCAAGTATTAGTGCTGTTGCTGGCTCCTTTGGCTACATTCCCCCAGGTAGTATACTGCACAATATGGTTTAAGTTAAGAGTCATTTGATTTTCTGCTTTATTATTGCTCCAAGATCACTACTGATGGTGGTTTTCTTTCCTCATATTTATTTACTTTGTTTATTTGATATTCAGAATATGCCTACACTATGCAAGTAACTGCACCAGGAAATGTATATAGCTATGGAGTGGTTTTGCTTGAGATCCTTACAACTCGACTACCAGTTGATGAGGACTTTGGAGAGGGAGTGGATTTGGTGAAGTGGGTTCATGGTGCTCCAGCAAGGGCAGAAACCCCTGAGCAGATACTTGATGCAAGGCTAAGCACGGTCTCCTTTGGTTGGAGGAGAGAAATGCTTTCAGCTCTGAAGATAGCATTACTCTGCACTGACAGCACACCTGCCAAAAGACCCAAAATGAAGAAGGTAGTAGAAATGCTTCAAGAAATTAAGCAAAATTGAGGGATCTCTGCGTCCCAAACACTAAGGCAAGGGTCTAGTGAATGGAAAACTTGTGTGGAGACTTGGAATTACATATTATTCTACTCATTTCAGAAAGAGTCTTCAATGCAGGATAAGGTGAAGAAGAGTAGTCAGTAGTCTTCTTGGATCAAGCTTGTTTTGCATTGGAAGGGTTTATATGAGTTAAGAGAGCTCTCTATTCATGTTAAAAGCAAACTTCACAGTTGATCTTGCATTGTGGATTTCAAACAGTAAGGATATATCCTGTGTTCTGTTGAATTGCATATTATGTCTGCAACTGTAATATTCAAAGTTTTCGTTTCCATTCTAAAATTTGTCACATAAGCTTGTTAGACACAATTGTCTTTCTCTAATGTTTACCACTTCTATACTACTGAATTAAATCCAATTTCCCATTTAAGATTTTAAATGTTGCATTCTAGCTGAGTATCTATGCTAAAACTGTTTACCTATATCCAGTTCAAAGTTCCCCTTGAACCAGATAAAATACAGAAGACCTTAAAATGAAAATAAATATATGCAACAGACCTTAAATAAAACTGCTGATTCAGGTTCAACTTATCAAAGTTTTCCAGACTGAACTCTGTAAATTAAACCTACAGAATATATATATATATATATATATATATAAACTACATGTCTTACCCTTATAGCCTAGGATCATCATTCCTTTTTGTTCCTAAACGCTTTCTTCTTTCCCTGTTGCTGCCATTGAATTGCCACTCTGGCGGGAAACTACATTTGAAGAAAAAACAATACTCGAAAGATCATCGAGTGGTGGAGGGGCAACAGAACCAAAATCCGAAGCAAGCTCCTCCTCATCAAATGCACACTCAAAAAAGGATGAATGTTGTTGATTTGTGGAAGAACATTGGTTTTGTCCCTCTTTCATTGCAGATTCATAATCCAAAGACGATGCAGATTCAAACTCCAAATACAAAGTTGCTACATCAGCATAACCACCTCCATGCATGTCTTGGTTACCAGTAATTAAGTATAGAAGTTCATTTGCAGGCGGTGGTGGGTCTAACCTTGGCGGTGGGAGCTGATTTGAAGGCAGAACTGAAATTGATTGAGTTGAATTACATTCACTTGGGATTGAATTCTGTTGCTGATCTTCAGCCTGACCCACTGCTACACCTTCATTGTTCTTGTCTTTTGCACTGTTATATATCTTAACCAAAATACATTCATCCAACTGCAACACCAAGACAAAAGAAAAGGTCGAAACCAATTGAGATTGAACTATAAATTTTCAACCAAGAGCAAAAAGAATTCCAGAAAAAATCCCTACCAGCATGTCATGTCTTGTCCTCCTCACCGGTGGAGGAACTTCATATTCATGCATCTTCCAACTAGTCTTTTTTCCATCGGGTTGATGTCCTTCCCAGAATTCAAGTGACCTTCTTTCTCCAATTTCCTTGCCCTGTTCATCAATAACCTTAACCTTTACTCCGGTTGGCTTCCAATATCCATTGACAGTAGAACGATCAGGCCTCGACCCATTTTTGTACTTTTTTTCTCTGGGAGTAAAGAAATACCACTCTTCCTCTCTATCTTTAAGTAACCTGAACCTTACTGCATCACATCAACACTCAAAAAAATACAAAAAAAATACAAAAAAATACAAAAAAAATACAAAAAAAAAAAAGGGAAAAAGAAAAACCAACAACAATAACAAAGAAAGATCACTAAACTAAAACTTTGAGTTGCATTATGAAATACATGTATTTTAGTGGTTATATGAATCAAAAATCTTTTCTTTTACAGGTATTAAGATACAATTCATACTACATCTTGTACATATATATATATATATCCTTTTATAGAGACAATATTTTTTTGTTACAAGTAATAGAGGAATAAACTAAATTATAAATCATATAAAAAAGTGTCAAATTGTAAAATAAAAATCATTAAATAAAAAAAAGAGTTCGGCCCTCATATAATGAAAAGTGTTGTGGAGTTC